CCCCCCCCCCCCCCCCCCCCCATGCTAGCCATTCATCTGAACACTAAGCTCTTAGCCCGAGCAAAAAAAAAGTTCTGTGACATCGGTTATTTGAAAACATCAAATGAACAAATCTGAATGATCGATGTTGCATCGACTTATACAGGATTGTGATCTAAATAAATAAAAAAATAACCCATTACCTTTATCGTTACCTTGAAACCTCAAAAAACTTATCAAGGATTGATCTCCTTGATAAGTTTTTTGAGGAATATGAACTCGGAGCTGCCAGTTCCAATGACGCCATTTTCCTGCTGGAGTTCTGTGATACTTAAGCAAAGACGTCATTTCATGAAGTGTATTAGAAGTGGGAAGGCAGGCTTGGCCAGACTGAGTTCTCAGGCAATCATAGATAAAACGTACGCAATCTCAAGTGGATGACACGCATATACTGCAACGGCATCACTGTCTTTTTTATGCACGGGATTCGGATAGCGTCACCGCCTTTCGTTACATTGAGGTAAAAAAGAACGAGTTACCGTTTCTCGTTAACGACTTTGGTAACGTCTTCACTGTAACGTGTTATTCCATGACCCTGCATGTATCGGCAAGACTCAGGGCGGTACCAAAGACGGTAGCAAACATTCAAAAGACGCAGTTTGAGCTCGTTAAATGGCTACTGATACAGTTAGCGACAATACTTAGCACCTACGGTACTAAATATTCGAAGTAACCATCTGTTGCTGTGATGCATATCCGACTCCGCACGACAGCGTCGATATTCATCGACACAATGCAGGCGTAATTGTCCCTATTGCAGTTGTGATGCTTTGCTCGAGCATATAAGGAGGATGTGTTTCGTACACAGCATTCGGGATGATACAAAAAAAATACTGGAGTCCATTGGGGTCAGATCGACCGACCTTGATGACCTTTCAATTCATCAGCCAACAGCCAGGAAATGTGGTATCGAAATGGTCACGCACAATATGGTCACCCACATTGCATAATGTTGTGGAGCAACATCTTTTTGAAATTTGACCTACAGTGGTTGCGGCATAGTGTGGCCCTGTAGAAAATTTAGTAGTCTGCTCTGTTGATAAGCACACGTCCTGTGCCTATTTGCAACCTTTTCTGGCCTCAACCTGTAGGTAAAATTCGACTTAGATAAGGAAAGATGCTACAACTTTTATTGAACGAAAGATGAGAGGGAGGGGGGGGGGGGAAGAAGAGAAGCAGTATAAGCAAAGTCATTGCAAAGGGGTTAAGATTCAGCCCATTTTTTTAAACCATATTTTCTCATCCTGGCGTAAGTCTCCTGCACCCCCTCCTTCCCCCTTCCCTTCTTGGCGCACCTGGGCAAGCGACTTATACAGTCGCTTGTCTACAGTCAACCCTCGATATAGCGCCGCCTGATATACCGCCACTCTCGTTTAGTACCAACTCTTTCCTGAGAACGAATCTTCCCCATAAGCTTATCATTGGCGCTCCCCCGTTATAGCGCCACCCTCGCAAGCCGCCATCCGCCAATACCTTGCCTTGCACAAACGTACCTTATTCAACGCGAGTCGTACTCGATATAGCGCCAAGCAGCGTTACGTACCAGCTACAATGAATATACCATGCACTACCGTGGTGGAAAAAAATGACATGCTGTCAGCCTTTCCTTTTGATCGTTTTGATAACGAGATTGTGAGGGATGACTTAGCTTTGGCACGGATGCCAGGGATTAGAGGGGGGCGTAAGGGGTCTCTTAATCTGACCTAATCCTGCCTCTCCTTTATTTTCTTTTGGAGAATGGAAACGCCTTTTTCGGTTCAAAGTTTCTCCAGACGATTGTTCAAGTGTGTTCATTATCCAGTAATGGGGAAAAGGACAGTTATAAGTGTGAGGGGAAAAGTGGAAGTGTGTCGCTACAAGGAGGCACATGCGGTCGAAAGTCAGGAAAACATTGCGAATAATTTCTCTAAGCTGTGTAGTTTTTCTTCTCCATTGGCACCATGAATGAATTAAAGTGGATTTTTTTTGCTAATTCTATTTTACATTTGAGTTATTTCGAAAATTTTCCATTTTAAAGCCGCGCATTTCGTTGTAGCACCACCCTCGATATGGCGCCAAAATCGGCGTAGACCAACAGTGGCGGTATGTCGAGAGTTGACAGTATATTTAAGGACCTGCGGTAGCTTGGATAGTCTTTTTCTGGAATTCGCTTTGGAGGGCAATGAGAATACATGAGGTAGCGTAAAATGGAAACGCTGTCGTGGAAATATTTTCGGTATAAAGCCTTTTTTTGAGAATGAGTTCCAACCGCTCACAGCACAGTTTAGTGAAACGACTTAACGCTCTATTGTACTTTCACCCATCATTGATGTCGCACAGTCAGGAAGACCTGGAAGCCTAGTCGAATCCATAGAGTGCTTGGGTCTCCCGATTGCATGGCGCCATGGGACCCAAGCAACTCGCTGGTTATTTCTGTCTAATATTGCTTAATTTGAAATGCCTGTTACACGAGGCAACATTGTTGTACTAAAAATCTCGGCGTTGCTCGAGGAAGTTCCTGAAACTTCAAATATTTCGTGGCCAGGACGTGGTGAACCATATTTGCTCAGAATATAGGGAATGGTAGGACAACTATGCGCATGGGGAAAGTCCATTTATCATGAACAACAGCTAGGGTATAACTGGGGGAATAACGGCCAGGCCTACGTTCAAAGGCAATCCTGACTCCTCCATCGGAAAGGCATCGTAGTCGTCCATTTCAGGCACAGAAGTCGCTCAGCCCGTAATCAATAAAGCTATTCTTGTAGAAAATACTTTTATTTCAGTGTTTGATCTTACTTTTATATTTTGACATGTGTGGAAGCGTGCGAGGCTGTAAGTGGAATCAGCAATAACTTAAACTATTGAATATGTGAGAGAGGGTTTATGAAGAGGTATTGCGTCCAAGTGTTCGGCACGTTTGCGCTTCGCTTATTATTCTACTGGTTCGCATGTTTCTTTATTGAGATGGTACAGTAGGATACGCGTGTTGGGGAAAATCTGCGCTATGTGCAGACATGCCACCTTGCATAATTGTTCCACCTCAGTCGGTTTGTATGCTTGTCTTGTCCTCTTTTGCCACAGATAAAAATAAAATTGGTAAAATAAAGAATCATGGAAGGAAAAAAAAACTAACTCTACAGGGTGGCCTATAAGTTACAATCGATTATGATAAAAGTTCTTTAAAAAATCCGACAAGGCCTTGAGACGGATGGTTCCAATGCGCATGCATTTCACTGTCTTTCCTCACCCCTAAGAAATGTCAGCAAGCCATTCATGAAGTTGTCATTTGTCGGTCGTTTGAAAAGGAGCAAGTGCGCAAGGTGCGTATGCATAATCTGGAGGAATTGAGAGCAGCCATCCACAACGCGTTTACAAAGATTACCCCTGAAACGTTGAGCGAACGTCGCATAGAACTTTGTGTTACGCATGATGGAGCTCAAACTAACGTAATCTATTAATAAGGAAAGTATTTGTCGAGATGGTTGCATTTTGCACATTGAATAATCGATAAATATATCTATACTTATTACAAAAGGTTTAATTTGTTTGCATTTTCTCTTTAATTATAACCGATTGGGACCTATGGGCCACCCTGTAGATCAGATTCAAGGCACAAGCCTTCGAACTGTGGATGAGTGGTCAAGGCGTTGCATCGCAGATTCATATGGAACGCATTGAAAGGGGTCGTCAATATACGCCTCTCGCGACTTCCTGCTTTCGCTGCAGAGGAAGCAGCGCCGCCTTTTCAAGAATTCTTATGGCGTTGTTCAGCAATAATTGAAACAAGTCGCAACTTTGCGCTGCCCAGATACCAAGCGTAACCTCGGTCTCAGCCGTTGGTGATAGATGATAACGACCACGAAAAGACATCTCAGATTGATCGATTGCCTTTACAACAAAGAAATATATAGATTTCCACGACGTCAGGTTCGAGATGAAGCAATTGGGAATGAAATTGGTGACAATTGCTTCCAATATAAATTTATTTTGAGTTAGCTGCTTATTGCTATCAATGGCTGGATCATGATATTTCTCAAATATGGGAGTTATCTCGTATTCTCAGGAATTTTATTGACATTTATATATTCCTTACTGATTTTGAGGCAAGCAATTCAGACAAGGCCTGAATGAAGCGAGTTCCTATTTCTCAAACAGTTATTTTCGAGCCCGATTTGGGTCCACATGGGCCACGTCACGTCCTAGTCATTTGCATGTTACAAACTAGACGTGAAAGAAACGTGCACAATTGGCTGGGATGAGTTGCGGAAACGAAAAATTGCTCGTGTGATGATCGGGATTCTTATCTGGAAGAACTTCAGACTGTGACGTTCATGTAATTACAAGCAAGGAACAGGTGGCATTCCCTGTTGTGGATGATCGAATGAGTTCCGAAGAAAACTAAGTGTTCTATCAGATCTTCGAGCTCATTCTTTCAAAAGATAATGTCACGGATTAGATACGTAAGAAGATAAACAGGTGCATGTTTCTGATCGCTGTCACCCCTGCCAGGTGCGACCAGGGAGAACAAGAAGAACAGGTTCTCCGCCTGCTTGTATCCAGGGCCAAGTTCACCTTCATTCAAAACATTGACCTATTTATCGCGGCATCCTATCGTCGGAAGGATGAAGGTCTTCCGGCATCGAACAGGAACTTGAATCATACTTGATTATTTAATAATATTTCACAATCCTACCAAATCAAGATGGCCATCTCCTTACGTGCAGGAATTTTAAGCAATTTTCGTGGCCGACAAGTTTTGCCCCATGGGAATCCCTTGAAGGAAAGGAATTGCAATATTGTCTCTCCCCAGCTCCATTCTGTGCTACCATTAATTCCGGGGATGATCTGACCGAGTGAGCTCGAACCGAACATCGGCTGATTGAAAATACATGATCTGCTGCATTGAATTTCATTTTAATTTATGTGGTCCTGCAGTGACGTGGCCGCTGGAATCCAACTGTAGCCAGTGTCTGGAATCTTTGGAGACATTTCTAAGCAATAGTAGGCTTCAGAATCGAAGATCACTGAATTATTCAAACGAGGATGCCGCTTCTTGCGATAGAGAATGCGACGTGTACGCAGTGCCAAAAGCAGAAATACGTTGGCAGCAAGTCCTAGATATTTCCCGAGAGAACCCCGAATTCTCTTGGGATTTGCTGTGTGATAAAATTGGCATGGAATGTATCTGTGAGTCAAACTTTTGGCAGTGTGCAAATCCCAGACTTTTTGGGTCAGTCCATCCGTCATCAAGGAAGGCGGCATTCCCAAAGAATACCCTTAGTTCTGTATTATTGTGTGTCATGGTCATTGCATTCAATTTTAATAGCAGTCAACTGTCGAAATTGGCTGTGTCTAAACTAGGTAGTCAAACTGCTTACTTTCCAGGGGTTGATGGAATCTCAACTTCCTATCATGAAGCGTGCTTATCTGGTAGCTTACGGCAATATCTACGGGGGAGGAACCACAAGAAATCTCAATCTCGCATTATCAGAGAATTATTTTCCTTTGTACCTGAAAATCTCCATTCGCGGTCAAAGGGAAGCATCTTGCGTACAGGATGCTACTCCAATAATGAAATTTTCTCAACTTCGTGGATCCAGCCATTGACTCGCTGATCCACGTGAGGAACAAGAACTTGCTCTTTTATACATTTGTGCCATCTGTAATATAGTTACATCAGCATTGAAGTAATGACGCTTTCGATTCTCTCTTTCGGACAGTTCGCCGAATCAGACAAACAGGTCTTCTCGAAAAATGCTGGGAGAAAGTTGAAGCATTATCGAATCTTTTCTAGGGTCTTTCGGGCATCTGGGAGATGCTGAGAATGACCCTCAGCCCTCTACTCTTGGCATCATGTCTGGGACGTTCGGATCTGTAATCTGTAATTCATTGTTTTTGGCATTTTTGCTTTTCCTCTTGAGAAATTGATATCTCTTTCCATCAGAGTTATGAAACTTACAAGTCGTAGTTAAAATTAATTCAATTACAACCCAACTGAAAAGTGTGATTGAGTTTTACGTTTTGAATGCAATCTGTAATTTAAACTAAAATTAAATTTTCCAATTTATTTAAAATATAGTACTAGTATAGTCTATATACATATAAATATAGTATAGTCTAATTTACAGATTACTTTTGAACCTTGAACTACAGTCATGGAAGAATAAACTCTATGCCTACAGTCATAAAGGAATATTGCTTCTCTTTGATTGTGCTCTCCGTAATCATGGTGAATCTTGGGAGAACTGAAATTTCCAATAAAGTATGACTCATCCTTTTATATTCATCCTGATTCCTAATGACGTGCAGCGATATGATGAATCCAATGACACGTAACGGTATTTCCTGATCCGGTAAGAAAGAGGTATAAACAAAAAAAGTGGTTACTGGAAGGGTCCTATCCTCACTCATGCTTTCAATTATAATTTCAACTAGGCCTTCATGTTTTGTAAATGTATTTCCCCCAAGGCCAAAATATAGTCCGTGGTTGAAATTAAAAACTAAAGACTAGTTTATTATTGCTACCAGTTGAAACCTTGCCGCCGTATCAGAGGGGTGATCAAACAGTTCCGGGACTCAATTTTTTTCATGACGCTGTGGTGACTCTTTCCGACTGCTGATGGTTTTGTCCTTCAAACTAGCCCTCTTTGGCATCGACACAAATTTTCAGGTGTTTCTTCAGCCGCTTGAAACACTGCTGACACTTATCTTTCAGTATCACCAGCAGTGCTCGCGTCGTGTTTACAATTTTGCTTTGAATGCCTGGAATCTCCTTCATTTCAGCAAACTCCTTCCCTAGCTTAGGGAACAGGAAGAAATTACTAGGAGCTAAGTCCGGTGAGTTGGATGGCTTATGAAGCACGGGGATTGATAGGTACGACAAACGTAGTTTAGAAATCGCTGAAACTGAAAAATGAAGGAAATTTCAGGACATTTAAAGCAGCGTTACGAACACGCCACGGGCGCAGCTGATGACTCCATAAGGCAAGTGTGAGCAATGATTCTAGCGGCTGAAGAAACTTGGAAAAATTTATGCAGTTGCCGAAGAGGACTATTTCGAAGGATATGCACATCAGTAGTCGGAAAGAGTCACCACAGCGTCATGAAAAAATTCAGTCTCGGAACTCTCGGAACGGCAGAAATACATTTTTGGGACTGGAAAGGAGAGGAACAGTCTTCCTGGGGTAGGATCCGGGGGTGGGGTAACTGTTATTCAGTCCAAGCCTACCTGAGAACAGTCCATTCCTTTTACTCTTATTGCATTATATGCTTTCATGCAATTACTCTTTCCGTGAATCTTTCTAATTTCCGGGGATTTCCAGATTCCTGGACGGACAGCTACTCACCACAGTTTACAACTCGGCATGAAAATGATGGTTACTTAGAAATCTGATCTGACATGAGAAATGACGATGCTTCCCTGAATATATGACGATGAATTATAATGCTGTTATTCACGCATGTCTTCATCTGACTGGGACCACGATGAGATTCACAATGAGACGAAGAGGGACTCGATCAGTTCGGAAGAGGACTCTAAAGAAAAGAAAATAAAAACTTACGTCTGCTGTGTGAAGGAATGCTTCCCTGTTGGGGTCATCCCCAGGGGGCACTAGGTCATCCGGACAAAGGAACATATCCTCCACGTCTGCACGGAAGTAGAACGGATGAACACTTTTGCACTCCCAACCAGAGGGAAAAGAGGCTGCGCAATTGGGATCGAGTGGATGCTCCCCTTGACAGGCTTCATTGCACGTATATCCGGCTCTGATATCATCATGTCATTGTCAATTATAATTATCTCCGCCTACAGAGAGACGTCGTCACCCCGTCGATCTCTTCTAATCAAAGGATCTAAATCCTCAGACCACCAAGACAGGTCATTTGAGTAAATTATAGCTACTGTTTTCCGTTAGGATAATGCCGATATTTTCTACATGGGGATTTCTCTCCCCTTGCGAGGAAGATTTCAATCGGACACATTCAACTCACCGATGCCTTTATCCAAATCCGAATTCAATATTGCCACATATTGGATCTTGGATGTTGGTTGGATGTACTTTTTTTTTTATATCGCAGCGCTGCTCTGTCCAGCAAAAATTTTTCCTATCCAAGAAAGGACAAGGGGGTTTGAGCTATTAATGGGGTGCCATTTCTCATGGTCCTTCAGAGTCTATCAGAGCTTTGCCTTGCTTTTGTCTGAAACCTGTTTTTTTTTTTTTAGAAACGAAAGGGAGAGGGTAAAAGAAAAAGCATGGCAAATGAAGCTCTTAATGCCTTTTGTGGATATAAGTGGTCCTTGCTGGGACTGGATAAACCATACTTCTATGGTAGTACTCATTTGTGGCATGCAATCATTTCATTGACATCTAGCATGCACCATCACGTTCTACTGCTAACTTTCTCCCAGCTGAATATTAATTCTTCGAGGGAATCAACTCTTGATGCAAGGAGTGAAAGTCAAAGCCAACCCAGATTCCCCCTCCCCGAGGGAAATAATTACTGCTGCCAGGTCTTGACCCAATTCACAGATGGTACATATTATCAATACGTCGATTTGACGGCTCGGGAAACCGTCAAATGAAAGATTCGGTTAAGGTTTAGTCATGGTTTCAGATTTCGCACCAACGAGAGACACTAATCGTCACATTCTGTGAGGCAACACAATTGCATGTAGCCACTGCTCAGCATCTAATATCAACATATAAAGAGTAGCACTAAGTAAAAGTTTATTGCTAACAGAGTGACCATATCATTCACCCTGAAACTGGGACCGAGACAGTGACACGTTGTCCCCTCCCTTCTTCCGTTCCCGACGCACACGCGAGCGCGAGTGTGCTTTCCTTTCGTTTTTCTGATACATGTTTTCATGCCACCGGATTCCTCCAGGTTGGGGACCGGGGATTTCATATTTTGTCACGCAATAAATTTCTGCTGCAAAAAAAAAAACATACTGAAAAAATTTTAATCAGCAGAGTAGAGCCTTCTGCATGACGCAAATAGTGACGACATTCCTATTTTTGCAATCTCAATAATTTGCAATAAGATCATAATTATGAGCATGAATAGGATCATTTATGCTCAGGAAACCAATCGGGAATACCTGTGTGTTTCGACAAATCTGTGAGGTAAACTTTACCTAAATTTATTTCATGCATTTTCACGATTTCCTTCACCATGGCACTTGTAATTTAGAGAGGCCAAAGCTGTGTTTTTCACTTGAGTTAGACAATTTTTTCGCTTGACTTAGACACACGTGCATGGGTGTCGAAGACAAGTGAAAAAGACTCTAACTCAAGTGCAAAACACTGTACTAGGAAGAGCCTTAACTTTTAAACTGTGACTGTCAGTCGTAATAATTTTAATTCCAGCGGAATACGACGTATGCCGATCATATGATGCTGTGCAGAGATAATTACATTCCGAAGTCGAATGGAATTTCTTTGGACAGAACTGTGACCCCTCAGGACTCAGCAGGATCGAAGTGAAAACTTTGAGGAGCGAGAGGGAGTGGGACGGAGAACCATAGGAAGCGGCTGGATAGGGAGCATATTCGTGCGTCTGTCAGTGGTTCTTAACCTTTTTTGGCTGCGACCCAAATGCTAGCTCGGCATGGTTATAATAAGTTTAGAATCCAGACTGCCGTTTTTAGCATTTAACAGACTGATAGGAGGAAAGGCATGTTTGAGTAGCATGAGTGACCTAGACCAGCGGTTTCCAGACTTCTTTGAATCGCGACCGACTTGCTGACGTACAGAAAATTTCGCGACCCACCTGAATCCAGAACGAGACATCTTCAAAGTAATTATGACGTGAAGAAAACTGATAGACCTTTTCTGCAGGGTTTGTGTTATCCTGAGCGGATGTGGATGTTGTAATATTTTATACCGGGAAAATGTACGCGACCCACCTTGATGCCTCTCGCGACGCGCCAGTGGTTCGCAACCCACAGTTTGGGAACCGCTGACCTAGACTATAAAGGAAAGTTCGGACAATCACTGGAGACCCTTAGCGACCCACTCAAAATGGTTTGGCTCAAATTGGGTCGTGACTCAGGGGTTAAGAACCACTGATCTATGTGGGGCGAAGAGAAGAGTAAGAGAGGAAAAAAAAACACAAATAAATAGAACGCTAAAAGAAGTTAAATAGGACTCCATTGACCTTCCGCTTTCTTTTCCACTCCTTTCCTTTGAGGAGTCTCGTCACCCCCCCCCCCCCCCAACCCCTTATCAGTCTGGCCCTGGCACAGTGACACACTCTGATGTGATTAACTTCTAAACGGCAGACAGGCAGACAGGAAACCAAGCAGCACTCAGTTTTTGCTGCAGGAATTTCCAATAGCGCGGGAGTGAAACCCCCTCTGAGAGTGAATCCTGTTCGGGAGCGTCGTAGTGGGGCCAGAAAAAAAAAATTGATGGGAGTGGGAGGGACGGAGTGGAGTCAAAATATCGTAAGCTTTCCCTTTCAACCCATAAAACGTGGGTAATTCAGGGGAAACCTTGACTTTCCGTCCCTCATATGGCTGCAGTGCATGTGGATCCGTGAACGTTCTTTGTTGCGTCACCGTCTCAGAATCAACTTCATATGTTAAATTCAAGATGGCGCCTACTGTGTCAGTATGGCAGCGAAACAGCTCGTTATCGTGCTTTAGGAAGCGAAGAAAGACATGAATTATGCTGAAATTCACGGTAGACCTACAGAATAATATGGTGAATTTGCCTATACGTTTTCATAAGGGGAGACAGCACGCAGACAGTGTGAATGAATGAATCACGGCAATTCGTTGCGAAAATATGCGGAAAATCACGAAGCTGTTTAGCTAAACATGGGGAGCGCGCAAGCAAAATTCCTTGACTTGAAATTTCGGAAAGTGTCATGGCCAAAGGCGTCCAAAAACCTGCTCATGCTTCAGATATGGGAGCGCAAAAACCTCCGCGTGGAGCCGAATAACCGGTTCGAAAGTGAGGAGAACGACTTCCCTAACTTGTTCAACTGAACCCTAAGCCATGATCATAAATTCAGATCCTAGCAGAAGCATACAATGCTTCAGCATAATTGAAGTGCGAGTTTGTGTCCTGCAGTGGGTACAAGGTCTGCCTAAATATTTACGTGCTACAGTTATCTGGGTACTCATAAAGTGATGATGCAAGTGTATCGATATAGTAAACAGGTAATACGAAAAATAGGCGAGATTTCGTGAATATATCTTATCCTATTGATCACAGCACAAGAAAGTCCAGGTTTCCCTTAAACGACCCTCGTAATTGCAATGGGATATAGCCATATAAATGTTCACCCCCCCCCTCCCAAAAAAAAAAAACAAAATCACGCTTAATCATGAAGNAAAATTTCCCCCCCCCCCCCCCCCCCGAAAAAAAAAACCACAATCACGCTTAATCATGAAGTGCAAAGAGGTGATGGAGGAGGTTCAACCTTAGACCTTTTCTTTTTGGATTGGCTCCAGGCAGTTGACCTTCCAGCCAAAGCCACTGAACCAATTGGAACAAATGAAGCACTATGAGACTCGTAGAGTCGTCAGGAGCTGGGTGTGTGTCTCTGGTACTGAGCTAATATAATGATACGCAGTTCCAAACAAAAAGAACCGCTCCTCCGAGCTTCCTGAGAATGGCCCTCTCTATTCCCATAAATTGCAAGGAATTCCGTGTGGTGATCGAGGCGAATACTGAACCGTTGAAAAGCTCTCTTCGTCGTTTTCAATTTAGTATAGGGTAGTATCGGAGCGGAAAAAGAAAACGTAAGGTCAATGGGTCCATGCCAGTTTTTTGTGTTCTGTTTGGTTTCTTCGTTTCCTTTCCTTCCCATCGTTCCCCATCAGCAGCGTAGCGTTGGATGGGCCAGAGGATCGTTAAAAAAAAAAAAAAAAAAACAGAAAAAGGGAAAGGCGCTTTGACTACTCCTGAACACTGTCCCAGGGTTGCCGTGGCCCCCCCCTCCAGTTCTGCGTGCGGATCGGGGAAGGAAACGGGACTCCCGTTACTCTCTCAACCGAGAACGAGTTGAAACACTTCTTCTAATGATGGCGCATCGTTTGCCATGATGACGAAGCACTCGATTTGGCTATGAATGAAGAGGGCCTGACATGTGGCAGCTATGTACTAAAATACCACAACCTATTCAAAACTCGTTGACGCTGGCGCTCTTTAGACGGTGTTGCCCAACAACACATTACGACTGCTGCAGGAATCACGACAGGGAGATAAAGTTAAGATGGAAGGGCCCGTCCCTTTCGCTACTTCTCGAGCTTTTTTTTTCTTAATCGTGTACTAGCACCGTTGAAAAGTACTTCCAGTAAAATACTTAGCTGGTCTAAGCAAGCAAAGGATATTTGGACTCTTTCTAAAACAAGGGTATTTTTTAGCACATAATACAGGGGGATTCAAAAGTCCCTCCCTAGTTTCAGAAATTAATTTCTCCAAGAACGAAAGAGATTCACGCAAACCAAATACATAATCCTTTAGAGCATTTATGGGAGTTTTGTTTCAATAAGAGAGAATTACCTTAACCTGATACGTTCTTCCAAATCTGCGAAATTGTATGAGTTTATAGCATACATTTTGCACAGCCCCGCATAAAAAAGGCGACAGAGATCAGGTCACATGACCGAGGAGCCCAGGGAGTTGAACCGCGTCTCCCAATCCTTCGGTTAGGGAAGAGTTTAAGAGCCATCGCAAGCACGCGCAACAACGCGGAGTCCCATCCCGTTGAAAGATGATCTCACCTAGGTCAAAGGGCTCTAATCGAGTAATAGCAAACATCTGGAACATTTCATGATAAGTTTCACCATTGACATTTGTTTGTCCCTCATCAAACTGGAAATAAATGCTCAATGATTCCTTAGCAGTAAGAGCACACCAGACAATTAATTTCGGCATATCGCGCTCATGCTCATGAAACACTCAGGTTTTCAATTCCCAAAGTTTCTAAAAATGTATTGTGCGTGTTTCGTATGGTTTTGGCATCAGAAGTGTCGTGAACTTCGGAATGCCTTCGGACTTCACGCTGAATAAGAGTCACTGAACCAAACGTGTCCATCCAGATAGCCATTTTGCACCGCTGCAAAACCGAGTGGCCTTCTGCCTTTCAAAGCCTAGAAACTGAAAGTTCGGTGCTTCTAAAAAGTTTTCCACCACTTGACTATCGTGTGAGCTAATTTCACCTTTAAATATTCAAAATCTGTGTAAATAAAAAGAAAACAATCTAGGGAGTGACTTTTGAATCACCCTGTATTGCAAAAGTGCTGAAAGTGACATTGACATCACAAGGTAGCGCTATTTAAAAAAAAAACTACTTTGCCAATTCCGACAAGAGAGGTACTTATAGACAAGCCTCGCATTGCTGATATTCCTAAAACTGGTCAAAAGTACTGAACTGGTGCTAGCAATGCTGAAAAGTACTAACAAAGCACCAGCTTCGTCTTAACCAGTGGCCCAACAACATTTCATAGCAAAATAATACTGTAAAATATTCACCTTAGGAAATGAGGAAGATGAAAACAATATTGAAATAATAATAAAATAAAATCACATTGTCATCCGGAGATGGACCCTTTTTGTTTTCCATAAGTTGGTACGGACTCCTTGAGAAGTTCAAGCACACACCAAGGAAGGCTCACTACAACAGCGATTCAGGCGACATCTCACTTCGGTATTGGGAACTTTGCATGTTCGAACGACTACCAGATGGCTTGCTTGCTTTCGTTTATTTTAAGGCATAACTTTTAAGCTGCAACTATTGACCTCGTGCACTGATTGAGTCGAGCCGAGGATATTTTTATTTTACAAGTCGAGGTCTATCCAAAACAGGTCGGCAAAATTCCCACTTGCAACTGGTGAGAACGTTTTACGGTTTGACGAGTGAAAACCGCCCCCGTCCATCCCCCCCTCCCCCACCTCTCTTTCTCTCTTCCTCGTGAGTTTTATTCCCTCTGAATCACCCATAGGGATAACCTAGAGCAGGGATGCCCAAGTGAATGTTCTCTAAGGCACTTTGTGTTCTGAATGCGGCCCGCGGGCCGCACTTTGGACACCCCTGCCCTAGAGGAATCCTTGCATAGACCTATTAGAATAGTAGAAACTCCGTTTTCAGCCGCAGGGAAGGCAGGACGCGTACATTCTTTCTGACTGATTTAATGGCATTCATGACGTTAAGGGACGCGATTGGGGAATATCATGTTCTATTGCAAAATTCATTTTTTTTCCTCGCAAAAATAATGAAAACAATACGTTGGAGAAAGTTCTGTCGCGTAGAAAGGATAAATCCTCGGAAGCTACGGAATTTTCACCGTTCGATGTACAGTACAGTGGTTTGGCTGCTAAAGACCAGAGAGTCAGACAAAGACATACTCCGAAGAGTAATTTACTGTGGTGATCAATACATTTTCCCGCATGAGTCACATGTTTAGCCTTCGTTCGTCGGTTCCCAGTTAAAAATTTTTGTTGGTCTATCGTCGGCCCATAGCTGGGGAGGTTGGTTCATCTTCTGCGAACGATTGGGTCGGCCGAGTCACATTTGTGCCGTAGTTGCGCCAATCATTGTCCCTTCACTGGGCGGCACGTGGTAGCAGTGGCGTATGAGCAACTGATGTGGCCGAGAAGATTCCCAAAACCGGCGTAAGATGGAGCCTAAGTGTTCGTCGAAGCGAGTCACTTCCCTGATTCCACTGAAGTTAGTCCTCTGGACCTTTGACACAGCTCCCTGCGGTTTCCCACATTGACCCGAAAGGAAGACAATGGAATTCCTCGACACGTTTCTCTGAAGATGTAACACAGCCCGG